AAAAAAAAAAATCTGAGGAGACTTGTAATAAGAGTCTACTAGTTTTCCATTACTATATTGATTTTTTTTTTTAAACAGGGTCTGTCTATGCAGTTCAGGCTGGCCATGAGCCCACTTTGTAACCCAGGCTGGTCTGGAACTCGCAACGGTCCTTCAGCCTCAGCTTCCCAAGTGCTGGGATTACAGGCATGCACCACCACGCCCGGCTCCATTACTATATTGAATTACTTTATAAAGAGGTTTATTTAGCTGACAGTCCTGGAAGTCCAAGAGCATGGCATAAGACTTCCTGGTGAGGTCACTGTGGATGGCATCACAACAGGATCCCTCTAGCTACTAGAAGGGACAGTCACTTGGCAAGAGGAAGCAAGAGAATGACAGAAAGGAGCAATATTTTCCTCCTGCTAGGCCCCACCTGTTAAAGATTCCAAGACTGATATACTGAGGACAGAGCCTTCCAGCACATGAACCCTGGGAGCAAACCACATCTAAATCAAAGCAATCAGTAAACCAAAAAGCCCAACCCAGAAAAGTTCAGGGCCAAATAGCTTCAGTGGGGGGCTGGGGATATAGCTCAGTGGCACAAGTGCCTGCCTGGCAAGTGTAAGGTCCTGAGTTCAATTCCCGGTACCAAATAAACAAATAGCTTCAGTGTCATCTGGAGAATTCCACCAAATGTTCAAAGAACACCCATCTTTAAAACTCTTCCAAAAGTTAAAGAGGAAGAAGGCACATATTCTACCAGTATTCCTTATGAACATGGTCATAAAATTCCTCAATAAAATACTAGCAAACTGAATCCAGCAACATAAAAAAGATTATACACTATGACCAAGTAGAATTTATACCAGGAATGTAAGGTTGGTTATACATGAAAATTAATCACTACAACACATGATCATCTCAATAGACAAAAGCAAAATACTCGATAAAATTCAGTACCTTTCAGTTTTTCAAAATACTTAAAAATAAAAGTAAACTTTAACTTGATACAGAATATTTGCAAAAACAAACAAATCGTATTTAGTTCGTATTTGGTGAAAATCTTCCTCATAAAATCAGAAAGAGATAAGGATGTCCACTCCCACCACCTGCATTCAACATCATACTTGGAGGACCTAGCCAAGCAGTTAAGCAAAAAAAAGAAATAAAAAGTAAAACAAGTTGGAAAAGGAGAGCTTGTTTGTTTTTAGTTAACGTTTACTCTTGGACATGAATGCTCTAAGAGGTGTCTTTAGAGCACCCACTGGTGTCCTAGACAGTCATTTTGCTCTCTTTCTGTAGCAGCAACCCATCTCCTTGGTAATCAGTCACCCCAGTCAATAAAGTTCCCCCTGACATGAAGAGATCAGTAGCAGTGATGACAGAGCTCAGTTGCTTAAGGAACTGACAAAGCTAATATCTGTTACAGGAAAATGATACAATGTAGTAGTGACCTTTTTTTTTTTAACCAAGAATCAACTCAGAATCTTGCACTTGCCAGGCAGGTCCTATGCCACTGAGCTATATCCCCAGCCCTTAGTAGCAGTATTGAATAAGGATATGCTTCATACCAGGAGGTCTGGGAAGGACAGTTGTGAGTTCAAAGTGTCCTTCCTATGTCAGGACGTCTGGTAGGCAGAATGATGGTCCCCCAGAGGTGCTTATTCAGGTATTATAATACCTGAAACCTGTGAATACATTAGTTTACATGGCAAAAAGGAATTTGCAAGTGTATTTGGTAAAGATCTTAAGAAGGACGGATTATCTAGTGGACTCACTATAGTCAAAAAGGTCCTGGAAGCGGTTTGGAAGTATACTATCCTCATTTTGAAGTATGAAAAAGGACCATAAGCCAAGGAATACACACATCCTTTAAAAGTTAAAAAAGGTGGGCTGGGGATATAGCTCAGTGGCACAAGCGCCTGCCTGGCAAGCACAAGGTCCTGAGTTTGATCCCCAGTACTGAGGAAAAAAAAAAAACCTAAAAAAGGCAAGAGCACAGATTCTTCACTTCAACTCCCAGAGGAACCAGCCTTGCTGGCACCTTGATCTCAGCCCATAAGACTGATTTTGGACTTTTGACCTCTGGAATGTAAGATAAGAAACACATGTTGTTTTAATCCCCTAATTTTGTGGTGAAGCGTTACCCGTTTTGTGGTCAGTGTTTCCTAGAGAAACATGTAACACAAGATATGCAAATATATAAGAATTTACAAGATTGGCTTACAGTGGCCACCCACAGATTCGGATGAGGATAAGTACAGAGGGTGTCTGCACACAAGACCAAATGATTCAGTCAGATGTCTGGAGCTCGCTGCAGTGTCCCGTGCAAATCCATATCAGGAGGCCAGTGAGTCTGCAGTGGAGGCTGAAGGATCTGTACTGGAGGCCAAAGAGTCTGTCCTGGCAGCCAGGAGATGATGTCCAAGGTAAAGGCAAAGACAGGAGCTGCCCCCAAGAAACAGAAGCAGATCTGTGCCTCTTTTCCCCTTTGTACCTTCCAGGTGACAAACCGCCCTCGGGTGGGTCTGAGCCGATTTAGTTAAGCCTCTTTTACTCCAATTGACACAATCAACTATCTTAGTTACATCAGCAATAGGAAACAAAGACAGGGCCACTCAAATCAGGAATCACCAACAGAGGCATGGGATCTTTCAAAAATGGGGAGGTCAAAATGGAGACTCACCTGGCGTTTCTTACACTCTTCAGGTCACATGGGCATATTCTTGCCATATAAACAGCCCCAATGGCCAGTTTTTAATGACCCCAGAAGGAAAGAGGACAGATGGATGAAGGACTCCCAAGTATAAATTCTTCATCTCACTTTTATAGTAAACAGTATTGACAAACTGTGCAAGCCACCCTGGAACTTCTCGTTCACACGATTCCAAAGGAAGGCTGTTAATGAGGACGTACTATTCTGTGAGGAGTGGTACTGTGCAAACAGCTAAGGCCAGTTTCGAGTCCACTGGAAGCCCAGCTCGAAGTGGCCAGACTCAATCTCAATTTCCAGTTGAGTAAAAGCTCTGAATGCCCCTAGTGGAAGCATTCCTTCCTTGGAAAACAGACTTCCAAGACTTCCTTGGAAAACAAACTGATAAGAGCTCACAGTTGTAGCAGTGGAAAGCAGAATTTCTATGCTTTATCAGGTGTGACAGTAAGATAAGCCACTCTTATCTTCACCTTCAATGCTGGATCGATGGATTCTCAACTTGCACTGAAGGTGAGGGTCCGTATTTGTTAGTTCTCAGTTCAAAGCTCATGCTGCATCCTGTAAGCTGGAATCAGATCCTTTTAGCCTATTTTCTCTCAGTTGCAAGGCAGTGAGTCTTACTAGATCGTTTCTTCATTCTAATTAATTTGCTTCTGGATGGTGAAATATATAACAAAACCAATCATTTCTAAGGGAATCAACCTTTGTCACACTGTGGTGAACCAAGTGCCTTCTCCCAATTCATATGTTGAAGTCCTGATCCCCAATCAGTGTAATGTGCTGATGGGATGAGTGATGATGGGATCTTTGGTAGGGTTGGATAGGGTCATGATGGTGGCCCGCTGCTCCAATGGGATTAGTGCCCTTAGAACAAAATACACCAGAGTGCTTCCCCTTCTTGCATCCACAGAGAGCTTTGTGCAAGATAGATGGCAGCCACTGACAAGTCAAGAGAAGAGGCCTCAAAATTAAATCTACCTTGACTGGTTCCTTGGTCTTACACTTTCCAGTCTCCGGAACTAAGAGAAATCAGTTTTTGTTGTTTAAACTGTTAAACTGCCTGGTCTATGGCATTTTGTCTCAGTAGTCCAAGCAGAGTAATACACATTCATTTGTTAATCTTTGATAAGAAACAATATGGTGCAGGATACCATGCAGATAATGAGGTTGGCAAAAGTACTACAGGAAGAGCTTTATCCAGAATATGCTTATTTTCTAGCAAGGGTACATAATTTCTCCTTCCATGATAGAATCTGTCCGATGGAATCAACCTGCCACCTGGTAGCCATGTCAGGGGCTGCTGCTGTTGGCAGGTCAGCCCTTAGCAGATCAGTCTTGATGAGGGGAGTTCCTGTTGTTGAGGCTATGTGTCAGTCTTTGTCCCCACTAACATGGGCTCACCAGGCAGTCGTTGGGATGGGTGGGCAAAGATGCTGACTGGTAGCACAAAATGCCTCACCTTGTTCTATTGATTGTTAAATGCCTGCTGCATAGTGGATGGATGTCTGTGTTAGTGTGGGGTCAGCAAAGCCATTGGAAAGTCCTTAAGCCACAGTCAGCTGTCACAGGGGACTCATACATCCCATAAATAGTCATACCGTAGTACTCCTGCCACTCTCAGCCATTTCCTGGGAATAGCCCCTGAGAAGCATTAACCAGCATAAGTATTAAGCCCGGGTCATAGTGGTAGGTAACCCTTTCACCTTGAAAGGGATGGTACAACATGCTTCGGACTAGTAGCACCTCGGAAACCTCACCAAGATCATGAATCACTGAATATTTGTGGTGTTTACCACTCTCTGACTCAAACGCGAAGACATCTAGATTACTTGCTACTACTGCCTTCTTATCAGGTCCAGTCTGCATAATGTCATCAGTGCAGTGGACAAGTGTAACGTCTGTGAAATGTCAAGATGATCAGGATCTCTGCAGACTATCTTCTAAAAGACGGTAAGTTCATGCAGCCTTAAGGCAAGTCTGTGAAATCTGTTGACTCTGTCAGGTAAAAACTGCTTCTTGTGGTCATTGCAGATTGGTATCTCTAATAAATAAACTCATAACAATAAAGGTGGCCTGTTGCATTCTGCTTTCTTTGGTCTAATACTTTTATAATCCCATTCTCATACATACTCACCAGGCTTCTGCATATGTAAATTAAGAGGGAAAAAAAAACCTTGAAGTTCTCTGGGATTATAAACCTGGCCTTCAGGATCAGATTCTATATGTTTTGCCTTGAAATATGCTGAGTCTGCCCTACCCAAGTTACAGGGCTACAGGCAACAAGGAGCACTTGGGATAAGTCTCAAAGTACATAGGCGTCTATCTCTGCCTCAGATGAGGTCCTTGTCGCGTCTTCATATTATGCAGGCAAAAGAAAGCCGATCCAGATGTCAAAGTGAAGGTGAGCAAGGTTGTGTGACTTAGGGGCTGCACCCAAGTCCATGCAGGACACTTTCCCAGTCCTCGCCCTTTCTCTGAGAAATACTGACTCCAAGTTCAACTCATGTTTAATTCTTCAGACTGCACAATGAAATGTTGTGTCTGAATTTCAGCAAGATTACTCCTTCAGCTACAAGGGATTTGAGGTACTTGTAACACTGCCATAGATTCTCTCTAGCCCTCTGACTAGGACTCGTGCTGAGATTTTGGAGAGCCGAGTATAACATTTTCTTGCTGGAAACACTCCAGTGCACTCAGAAGTGGCCTCCCTCCTCACAAGTCCTTATAGCTATCATTATCCATAGCAGCTACTTGAGCCCCAAGGCACTGGCTTCAGGGGTTCTTTATCACAACAATCTGCAGTTGATAATTTTAATAATCCATGCTTTAATAATCAAGCTTGCAGTGGATTACTAGTTTCCCACTTCCCTGATAAGGAACTCAACATTGTATTCAAGTCTAACAACAGGGAAACAGGAAAGAGCAAGGTGGCAGTACTGTGATTCAGGCCGTAAAGGGGAGGGGGTGGGGGGTGGTCTGTGTCAGCAGAGCTCCAGCGCAGGCACATCTCCAGATACCCCAATGTAAATAACTTCTGTAGCCAAGGTTGTTTGCTGGCTTGTGTAAATAACTTACATAATCAAGGCCGTTTGGCTGGCACTCAGCCACCTTTGTCTCTGCTCCTATATATGCCCAGACGGCCATGCTAGGGCATGGCTGCGTGACCGCTGGAAAGATGTCACATTTGCCAAGCGTTCCTCTACTCCTTTCAGTTGCCTGCTGCCCCACCTGTGGACTCTCTATCAGACAAATTCATACACCACCAAAATTTCATCTTGAATGGTCTGTTTCCTGGGACTCCTGAAACCAATTTCTGTATCAAGTTTCTGTCAGGAGACAACACTACACCAGTTCCTTTCACAGGGAGGACTCAACATAAAGAAGTTATAACTAGATACTAGAGAACCGCAAAGGAATAGCGTCCTAAATGCACAAAGCAGCTACGACCCTTACACATCAAGAGAAGGTGGAGAATAATTTGGGATTATTAAAATGCAGAAGCTTGGATGAAGGGTGTTAGGGAAATGGGAAAGACAAAGAAAGCATGTGAATCTGCTGGCTGATGCTACTTGTCTGAAAAAGCTTAATGAGGCTGGTTCAAGGACTGTGGGGAGGAAAAAAAATGTAAACTTGAACCAGCTGCTCCTACAGGAAATAACTCTCATTACCAGGGTGAGGATTGTTGCTTGATGACGCCAGCAGTAACTGGAGCAAAATAGAAAGGACCGAGTCCCTTGCCTCTCCTCTGGACTTCCAGTCACCTTTAGTGTCCCCGTTCACAGACCGACAGTGGCCAGCTGACGGAAGACCTGATTTGCAAAGTCTCGGCCCCGACCTCACAGGGAGGAGTGTAAACCTGAAAGATTGTAGTTTAAGAACCAACCATGTACATGTGTCCCTACCTGCATCTGTGTTCATATTTTCTGAGCTGTTTTGAAGTGAATTCCCACATTTCTTCAACCCTACATACTTCAGCACATATCCTCTGAAAGCAAGGACATTGTCCTATGTAACTACAAAGCAATTATTTACATCTAAGAAAATTAGAAATAATTCCTTTTTTTTTTTTTTTCAGCATTAGGAATTGAGCCCAGGACCTCACTTATGCTAGGCAAGCCCTCTATCCCTGAGCTATACTTCCAGCCCTTTTTCATATTTTATTTGGAGACAGTGCCTTGATAAGTTGCCCGGACTGGCCTCAAATTTGGATCCTCCTGCCTAACCCTCCCAAGTAGTTAGGATTACAGGCATGCACCACCACACCCAGCTACAATAATTCCTCAATACTGCCTAATACCCAGACCGTATTCAAAGTTCTTCCAATTTCCCCTAAAAATATCTTGTATTCCTGACTTTAAAATCACTTTTTAATTTTTCCATGACATTAACAGCTTGAAAAAAGTCCCACTCTCTGAGCTGATTTTCTTGGATGCCATTTAGATAGTTCTTTCCATGTGTTCTCTGCTAATTAGAGGGCACGACTGAAGGCTTGATTAGATTCAGGTGAGTACCGTATCACAGGCACATGTACCAGGTTGCTACAATGCTGACAATGTTGAATTTGCTTGCTTTGTTAGCACTGAGGCCACCAAATCTCCATGACAAAGGTACGCTTTTTTCCTGCCCAAGTATGGTGGTACAGGCCTATAGGGCTACAATTCTGGGAGGCTGAGGCAAGAAAATTGAAATTCCAGCCCAGTATAGGCAGTATAGCAATTAGGGAGACCCTGCCTCAAAATATACAATTTTAAAAAGGGCGGGGACTATAGCTCGCTGTGAACGCCCTGGGTTCAATCCTTAGTACTGGGGGTGGGGGGTATGTTTTTTCCTTCAAGCCTTTTTTAAAGTTCATTTTACTTTTCATATGTAAGACACACACGGGATACATGCCAACAGTTCATCTCTCAGCTCCACAATTGTCCAGAATCTGCCGCTATTACTGGGTTATGTATCTTTAAAGAGACAGTCAAGCATAATTGTGTGATTTACCCGTATTTAAAATAAGTGGATGAGACATGGAGAGCTGTCTTTCTAGTGTTAAGGAAAATCTGTAGATGTCTTTTGAAACAAAAAAATTTGGAGAAATTAGTCTCCTTGTACTTCACAGCTACTGACCAAAAAGTCTCTTGCTAGCCACTAGCTAAATTCATTTATGCTATTTAATCATAGTTCATTTCTTTAATCCAGGGCTTGTGCTTTTCTTCCCAGTCAAAAGACAGGGATGATGTTTTCATTTCTTCTATTCTCACCCAAAATTATGCTGGCAAAACTTGACAAATCTATTTCTGCTGACTTTCTAAAAACTTGATTCTGGAGAGCAGAGACCACTAGTGGAGCATTTCCTTAAATCAAATGTCTGTTCATGAGGGCTGGGGATTTAGCTCAGCGGCACAGTGCCTGCCTGGCAAGCACAAAGTTGTGAGTTTGATTCCCAGAACTGGGGAAAAAAAAACAAACAAAAAATCTGTTCATTTCTGATCCAGACAGTGCATTGAGAAACCTCATCGAGAGCTTTTCCATGGGATTCCCGCGGTCCTTCAGTTTCCATCTGGTGGGACATTTTCTGGGTCACTTCCGGTTGAATGTAAGTGATAACTACTTTGACCTGATTTTATTTGTGCTGGAACTCTAGCTGGCTCAGGGCTTCAGCTTTCTGAGACCTAAGGCCACAAGAGCCTCTCAGAACTCTTTCCTTCCCATGAAAACTGCGGTACTGTGCTTCTTGCGGCCTTCTGCCCAGCCAGATACAGCTTAGGAGGAGGAAGTGATGACAGGGTGCCACACTGGAGCCCCTCCGCAGCACAGGCCCTCACTCATGTGCGACCTTGGGAAGGTGGCCTCATGCCCTTTGGCTGTACAATGGGAGAAAATATTTGTTCCAAACTTGGGAGATGGAACAAACTGCTATTTTGAATGTTTTTAAAATGAACAAATTGCTATTTTGAATGTAAAATGTCAGCAGTTTACTATTATTAACTTTATGAACTATGCCACATCCACAGACCTAGCCCATCTACAAAAGCAAAGCAAGAATTTCCAAGAACCACCACACAGCATACAATTTATTTTATTGCAAAGTGGGTATTGCATAAGTGAGACATCCCCCTGATTTTAAAAATCAATTTGTTTCAAGACATAGAATAAAAAATAAGTCTCTGTCTCACCACTGTTTTCCAGTTTACCTCTCCAGAAATAACCACGTTACAATTTCTTATGTATCATTCTATACTATGGTGTTATAATCATGCATGTATGTTTTCCCCACCTTTTTCTTATTTGAATGCTAGAAAACTATACACACTGTTCTGCTTATTTTTCTCACTAAACAATGTATCTTGGAAATAATTCCACAAAGTATGTATACATAAAGTTCCACCTCTCTGTGTCTGGAAATCTCTTTGTCTCTCATTACTAGTGCGAGAACCTGAAAGAGTAAATAAAACCCAAAAAGTGCAATAGATATTATGAAAGAGAAAGAAATTGCTCAAAAGGAAGGAGAAATTGGGATGAGGGAAAGGAGAGAAAGAAAAAAAGAAGAAAGGAAGAAAAAATATATATATATGGATAGCTGATTAACATATATATATATATATATATATATATATATATATGTACTGCTGATGTCTATTGGTTTATTGAAAGGAATCCCTGTCTCAAAAAGACAAAAAAAAAAAAAAAAGCCGGGTGTGGTGGTGCACGCCTGTAATCCCAGCACTTGGGAGGCTGAGGCAGGAGGATCTTGTGAGTTTGAGGCTAGCCTGAACTGCATAGTGAGACCCTGTCTCAAAAAGACAAAAAAGGGCTGGGGATCTAGCTCAGTGGCAAAGCACCTGCCTGGCAAGCGCAAGGTCGTGAGTTTGGTTCCTGGTACCAGAGAAAAACCAAAAAAAAAACAACAACAACAAAAAAAAAAAAGACAAAAAAAAGGAAAGGAATAGTCAATGCTTAAATTTTTTTGACCAAGTTTGCATGCTTATATCTGGTAATCTGAACAACTAATTTGAAGATAACAATATGCAATATAACAACCTCTGGTGAATTTCTACCATCTTGTTTAGTGAAACTCTGTATTATTTCTAATGGTCTTTTTAAATTATTTTTTATTCTCTTTAATGGTTTGATCAATCTTGCGTTCTTACATCTGGTAATGTAAGCAACTTTGTTGAAGATAACAATAGGTAATATAGCAACCACTGTTAATTCCTATCATTTTGTTTTGAAACCCTGTATCATTTTTATTATTTTTGTGTTGTTTTGTTTTTGTTTATGTTGTTGTTGTTGTTTTTGGTCTTTTTTGTTTTTGTCTTTTTGAGACAGGGTCTCGCTATGCAGTTCAGGTTGACCTGGAGCTCACTTTGTAGCCCAGGGTGTCCTCGAACTCGCAACGATCCTCTTGCCTCAGCCTCCCCAGTGCTGGGATTACAGGTGTGCACCACCACACCTGGCTTGTTGTTGTTAGTTTGTTATTGCTTTTTATTCTCTTTAAAATAAAAAAGAAATTACTTAGTTCTCTGATCTGTGCATTTACATGGTTCGCAGACTTTTATTAGTTCAGAAAAGGGTTTCAATAAATATCTATATGCACACATGAAAGTAAGTTCCTAGAAACAGAACTGCTATGTCATAAAAAATAAACTAGGAATACCAATTTCAAAAAATGAGATTCCACAAATCAGTGTAAGATTACTGTCCAAAGGGTGGTGCGACTGAGAAGGAGTTTAGGTGGTGATGTGCTCCTGAACAGTCCAGGAGGCAGAGAGGGGAGGAGCCCTGGTTCGTGGTGTTTGCTGAGTTTTGTAGTGTACTTGCTGCCACTGCAACAATTTCAACCAACATGAAACTCAGAGTTGGGAAGACATGCATAGAATTGACTGGTGGGACCCAGCAAATCACCAGTTAAGAATTTCAACAAAACATTTTCTTTTGCTGTTCTGTGTTAAGAGGACTTGATGAAAAAGAATATGAAGGCTTCTGCAATAGGTATCTGTTGTAGTCAGGGTTTGCAAGGGGAAAAATACAATATAGGACACTTAATTTATAAGATCATTTTATAATAGTCACCCAAAGAGTTATATATGAAGAGAGTGCAGGTAATCTGTTCACACACTAAACACCAAAAGAATCCAGCTGAGGACCTGGATCCCATGGCAATGTCCTGCATGAGTCCTGCTGAAGACCTAGAGCCCATCACAATGCCCTGTAAAAGTACAACTTGGGGCCAAGAGCCCACAACAAGGTCCATGCAGGCCTGTTTCATGGATTTGTGCTGGGAGGGCCCAAAGGCCAGTGGTGGAAGCTAGAAAGTCTGTGCCAGCGGGATGAAGGATCTGTGCTAGCAGGCTGAAGGATCGGCACTGGAGCCAGGAAGCAATGCTAAAAGTAAGAACCAGAGCTACCCCGAAAAGTACCACAGCCATCCTGAGCAACAGTGAGGTCCTAAGCTCCTCCAGCAATGAAAATAGCCAAGTCCCTATCAGGAAAGCCAGCGTGACAAGCTCCTCAGGAGAACCAACAGCCCCGAGAACCAAAAGTTTCCAAGCAGTACTCGTTTCCCAGTTCTTTTTCTTTTGTTGGCAGCAGTCCTCAGGTGGGCCTCCCACACCCGGCACCCTGCTGGCTCAGCTCAGCTGGGTGTTACAAACCGACCACCAGTTGTCAGTCCACTGCAGTACCTTTCCATGGTGACCGATAGAAACAATTCCAACTAGCTTTAAGAAGGGGAAAGAGTATGAAAATGAGGTTTTTAGTGCAAGTCTTCGCATAAAGGGCTTTCATAATATACTCATAGCGCTCTCTCCACCTTTCGTTCTCTCTTGTATATTTGCGTGGTGATGTCATTGTCTCCTCTCAATCCGCTCCAAGTGGCAGGAGAGTATGGCTATGGCAGCCCAGGATTATAACTTTGCAGTTAACAATTCAGAAGGAAATCTCCTTTCATGGAGATCACCCGGAAAACCTAAACCTTCTCAGTGCCATTTCTTCCCAAGTTTGGTCTGTTTTCTGTAATGCTAGTCCTCTGCTTGCGGTCAGGCTGCAAGGGCAGGGCCATGCTGATTAGGTGCCCTTTCTTTAGTGCTCAGTTAAGGCTCTAAATGGTGGGCATGAAACCTGTGTGACACAATTAGAGACTTTCTGGGGAGCCTGGCGGGCGCCGAGGCCGGCTGGGGAGCCTGGAGCCCACAGCTGACTTGCCAGATGATCTCAACATTGGGACTTCCTTTGGGCCTCGAGTCCAGGCACAGGTTTAGCCAGTCAATCTCACAGAAGGTTTGGAGCTTCCAAGGTTTCACTCTTACTCCATAGTCATCAGGGGATCCTTTTTGAGGTTGTCCAGCATACAATCTAGGGTGGTGGGTCTACTCTGGCTTGCACCCGTTCTGTCTCCCTGTGATGTATGTGCTGTAACCCTGGAACAGTGCTGGAAAGACAAAGGGTGGGTGCCCCTCAGAGAGAGACCATTCTGGTGCCTTCCTGGCCACTTGCCTTTCGGCAACACTGGGACCATGCAGACTAAGGAGAAGCGTCAGCAGGTTCTCCGTTCTGTCCTTATTAGGTGCATCATGGGACCTCAGGTTGGGGCCCAAAGAAGCTCGTTAGCTCTGAGGTCCCAAGAGGCCTCTCACTGTGGAGCACTGATGGAACGGCCTATTGCTTCCACCATCTGTTACAAACAGTCACACAGTCATTCAGCAGGCACTGAAAGGTTAAACATTCCAGCCTCCTCCCTGTGGGTGGCCTCGATTAAAGACTAACAGAGGTGATTAGGCTCTCCTTACACTCAGAACTGTGCAGGGGCTGACTGACAGACTGACTCACTGGGGTGCTCACGCGCACACACACACGGGCACACACACACACACACACACACACACACACACATGCTCTTACCTTATCCAAAGACCTGACCCAATTGCATTTTATCCCCCTCTGTTGGATCCAATGAGGGCTTCTGGTGCCAAGCAGGGGCCTCCAGTCCAGGCCCCCAAGGAAACTCCAAGAAAGTCTGGAAGGTGTGCCTTCCCATTAAGGAGCCTGGAGAGGTCCCCACTTCAGCCACCTGCTCTGACGGTCTTCCCAGTCAGGGAGCCAAGAAATGTTACAGAAAACAGACCAAACTCAGGAAGAAATGGCACCAAGAAGGTTTAGGAGGCAGTTTATTGCACCAGTGCTCTTCTGACAGGGATCTCTCCCCAAGAGCCACAGCCCTGCTCAGTGGGGTTTCAGGGCTTTATGGGAAAGCAAGCGGGGCTATATAAAGGCAGATTTGGTACATTATGATTGGAGGGTTGGGTGACATCTTGGGTTGCTGAGGGAGTTTAAACATTTCAAGTTACATCATAAGGCCATCAGTTATACAAAGCATGGGTTATACAGAGGAAGAAATGTCCTGTTACATTTTAAGTTACATTGCAAGGCCATCAGTTATACAAAGGCAGTAAAGACAGGTTTTTGCACAAGGAAAGAGTGTTCTGTTGTCAGGCCTGCCAGACATGTCCAGTAGGTCTTTTTTTTTTTTTTGGTACCGGGAATCGAGCTCACGACCTTGCACTTGCCAGGCAGGTACTGTGCCGCTGAGCTAAATCC